GGGGAAGAAAGAAAGAAAAATGAAAGGATGGAGAAAAAACCTAAGAAAAATTTCTAAGTGATAAAAGAAATGTTTTTGTTGTTTTTATTTGTTTTAGGAAAATATTTAAATTAAATTAAGAAAAAGAAAACCTAATACTAATTGATTAATTAATTTTTTTAAAAAGTGATTACAAATGATTAATTAAAATTAATTTAATTAATAAAAATCTAAGTCTAATTATTTTTGTGATTTTGATTTTATGATTTTTAGGGGGAAAAATTAGTTGAAATAAAAGAAAACAAGTAATAAAAGAAAAGACAAAAAATTAAATTGGGCCAAGCTGTAAAACAAGTAATTAGGGGGTGCAGAGATTTGAAATCCCCGAAGCCCAATAACATTAGCCTAGGCGTTGTAGCAAGACATGAAGGAGAAATACCATCTTCTCCGATGATGTTTTTTTTTGAAAACCTGCAAACAAAAAAAAAACAGCTCGAATCCTTGGACCTAAATCGCATGTTGTGAGTTCAAATATGGCATTAATTTGGCCTGAAACAGCCTGTAGAGTGAGATCTAAAACTAAATGGTTCTTGAGCTCTAACAATGGCATTTTAGTGTTTTTGCACCAAACCTTACATGTGACATGTTAGATCCACTCTAAATATTGATAACAACATGGATGTATGCATAGAATTACTTTAAATCACATGAATAGAGAGTACGAGGAATTAAAACCTTACCAAACTGATATGATCGGATGTGGGAGTTTTGGACGTGGAAGGGATTAGTTATCGGCCTGGTTCAAATCCTGGGAGCCTCAGGGATATGATTTGGTCACTGGTTTGGACTGATCACGCATGGGAATGCAATTATGAATTTTGTAACTTTGAGAATTTTTTCTTGAGAATTTAGTGAAGCTTTCTTTGCAATGTTTTTTTCATCCCCTTTAAGCTTGCAATGTTGTGTATTTATATAGGAGTAGGAGGATAGATCGATATGATAAAGAATCACATCATTAAAGCCACCAACATGGCAAGGAATCACACCATTAAACCATGGTTTAAAAACAAAAATCAAGTTTTGAAAAGTTTCCAAACTTTATGATTCCTTGCCATTTTTGTTTGCTGCATGAACCTGGTAATTTGTGATGTACCTTGCACGAATTTGGGCCTCTTGAATGATCCAAATGAAGCCTGCTTAAGCCTTGATCCATTTGTTTGGTATTTCACTTGATTTCTTTTATATTTAAATGAAAAAATTCAAATAAATAGAAATCAAAATCAAAATAATGTATGGATAGTTTTAGAGGCTCTTGGATATGTCATGAGTATGTTTGAACTCTAAAAAGTTAGGCCCAATGACTTAAAATCACAAATTTGCTCAATTGAGATTTCATGCATTTCTTGAAAATTATCCAACTTGTGCAACTCATAACTTGTTCAACTTTAATTTTTTGAAGATGATCTTGGATTTTTTGGAAAGCCCAAGATGTCCTATACACTTTCTCTTTTAATCATTTTCGCATTTGGAGAAATTATCTTGATGTAAGTTGCCTTGACAAAAAGTGTCTTTTATTGACTTTTTTAAAATGACCTATAATGTATGAGATCATATCTTCCAAATGAAATATTTTTTGGACTTGAGTATAAAAACAAAGTAGTATAGAATATAATTTTCTTCAAAATGGGATTTGGTTGGGGAAAATTTGATGAAGCATGAGAAAGTTATGCTTGGTCAAAGTTTAGTTGACTTCTCCTAAGGAAAACCCTAATTTGGCAATTCTTGACTTTTGAGGATCTAAGGACTTTCCTTTGGGAATAATGATAAACCCTTGATCAAATGATGAATATCACTTAAAAATGTTTATGTTGACAAAAAAACTTGAAGTTTGACTATATGTTGACCATAGTTGACTTTTTGATCAATATAGTTGATTTTCAAGCATTTGAGCCATTGATTGAGCAAACTTGTGATGTAGGGCTTGAAACTTGACATGAACCTTGTTGAGGACCTATGAAGAACCATGGAAGCCATTTGAGACCTTTTCAAATCAAATTTGCTTGAGAAATTCCAAACCCTAGTTATGGATCTTTGGTCTATGAGGAGCACCTTGACTAATCAAACCTTGAGTGTTTCGACCATTTGAAGAGCCTTGAAAGAATGCTTTAAATAAAAATGGGAGGGAAAATTTTGGGGTACAACAGTATGTGTCGGTGCAAGCGATAATCAAGAACTTCTTGTAAAACATTGCTAAGAACATCTTACTAACAAAGTTCAACCTGCACAAAAAAGGAAATAAGTCAAACATAAATTGCTCTCTTTTCCATTTTTCATGAATCATCCCAACACTTATTTCTACAATGTGAAATCACAAAGAGGGTATGTCCCCCTTATGGGCTTTCTGCATCCCAACACTGATCTAATGATTGGCTTTTGCAAGTTTTAAACTAAAGTGACCTTATGGTTACCCAATTGATATGTACTGCTATATGAAAGATTTGGCGTGCTCGTAACCATAATGAGTTCCACCATAAGCTAACTGAGACACATGTGGTTGCAAAGGATGCCTTAGAGTTTGTGTTATATTTTAACAGGGCCAACCCAAATTTGTGGGTAAAGGAAAAATCAGTGTAGAGTAATTTTTTTGAACTTCCTTCCGAAGGTATTTCGTTAGTCCATGTTGACATTGGATGCTTCCGAGAAGACTTCGTATTAATGGGATGTGTGATCAAAACTCTGGATGCAAGAATCATCCAAGCATCGAGCAAAAAAGACCATATAGTTTTTTATCTGAGCATTGTTGAGCTTCTTGCAGTCAGGTGGGCCTTGTAGTTAGCACAAGAACTGAATCTAGATAATGTACTCTTTCAAACAGGTGCTCTTATTATAGTCTATTGTATTAATTCAGTTAGTTACTCTATTGTGCTTGATCATGTCGTGGTCGACTGGAAACATCTTTTAAGTAGATTTAAGAATGCTTCTCTATTTCTTTTGGATAGGTCCCTTAATTTTGAAGCTCACCATATGTAGGGGCAAAACGGGTTTGGCCCGTTGGGCCGCCTGTTTTGCCTACACTTTAGTGCGGAGCGGGCCAAGTGTTTAAGCCTGCACCCTCTAATGTGCCTTCTCCGTCTTGTCCCATTTTTATGCAAGCTTTTACGGGCGCATATATTAACATGATTTTTTGTATTTTTAGGCTTAAAAGATGCAGTGCCATGGCCTCACTTTTTTACAAAGCGGGCCTAAATTTTAAACTCACGCTTTTAATTATGTTTTCCCTGTGTCGCTCCGTTTTTTCACGAGCTTTTCGAGACGAATCTAAACGGGGAGAGCATACTCATTTGCTTCCTCTAATTATATGGTAGACATAAGAAAAAGATATGACTCTAGAACCTGATTAGATTACATCCCTGAGTTGGATGTTCTCCCATTTGTAATTCCTCTGTTGCCCCATCTTTTTTTTTACAGTAAACAATCTCATTCAATATATGAAAAAGAGAGAGTACAAATATAGAGAAAGAATACGTGTTAGGGCATTTTCCATCCGCAATTTAACAACAACACTAATAATAACCCAAACAAACTATGGACATCAAAAAGCTTTGAGAAATTAGAACCTCGAAGAAGGTTATCAATCCAAATCCTTAATCCAATTAACCAAACAAAGTTCTTTCGCAAGAGCCAAGTGAGTTTTAAAACCTCAATCTTTAAATTTATCCAGTTACAGATCATTTCTTTATCTTTATCATGCCCAATTCGATTATACAGGTTCTTAAGAATGATTACTCTCACAACTTGTGGAGGTAACATTTGTTGACTGGAAGGAGGAGTTTGAACTGCCACATCCTTAGCAAGATTCTTACTAAAAAACACAACTATTTCATTCAAGCTTCTTTGAGGCATTTCATCAAATACCTTGAGCACAAACTTAAGACACCCAAAACCTAAGAGCACCACACACAACAGAACAAACCAAACAAGAAAAGACAGGATCCACAACAAAACAAACACAAAAATAGAAAACATTACATAAATACACACGCACACATAAACTCAGGACTATTAGGTCTTTCGATGGTGGTGGCTCTATTGGGGGTGTCTTCCATGTTAGTACCATTTTGGCTCATCGGTTGATGGATATGATTTTAGAATTACACGCGATTGATGGTTGATGGCAGAGAGGAAGTGAAGCTTGATGGAGGTTGGAGGAAGAGCCATGTGTAGATCTAATAGAGATGGGCTTTCGAAGGAAAGAGGAGAGATGAGAGAAAACTTATAGTAAGGAAAGAACCTTTATAAAAGAGGAGGTGACCATTATATTAGCGATGAAAAACTTCGATGAGAGAGAAGAAACCCTTACAAGAAGAGAGAGAACACTCATTAAAAGAAAGATATAGAGTGAGGGTGAAACTTCTGTTTCTAAACATATTGATATGATTGAATTTTGTTGCCTCCATCTTATTAATAGAAAGGCTTTACTATAAAAAAAATTGTCAAGGTGAAAATAGATTTGAGAGAGAAAAAACTTCCATAACCAAATCTCTAGAAGGGCTCACCCAATGGCTATCTCACAAGAATCCATCCACTTAAATCAAAACAAAATAGCAATAAAAACCGCTTAAATCATAAATTCAAAAGTAATATCACTTCACACTTCAATTAACTAATCTCTTTGGTTTGATTGAGTTATTTTGAAATAAATAAACTCCAATAAAATATAACAATTGTCAAAAGTAAACATGCCGCCATAAAAGGATAGCAATGTTCCACGAGGTAAATGGGTCCCACATCCCTCCAACATACAAAAAAACACCTTCACCTTAATAAATGTCCCACACACTTCTAACACACATCACAAAACCTATGGTCTCTCTTCTTCCTCCTTTTTAAACCTTCACTCAACACCAATTCCATCTTCACAATCTCTCTCTATCTCTCTCTTTCTCTCTCTAAACAAACCTCAACAACTACAAAACCAAGCATCAATTTTTTTCAACCTCTTAAAAAACCATACTCCACCTATGGCGACAGGACTAACCGCCACTATAACCTTGAAACCCTTAAACCGTCACCACAAACCTTTGTTCCCTCATCTCCAAAAACCAAACTCAACATTTATCTTCTCTCCTCTAAGATGCAGAACAACCCCAAAAACACAAAGGTTGAAAAACTTTACCCTTTGTGTTCTCATGGAAGATCCAAAACATGATACCCAATCGGAAATTGAAGAACAAAAACAACCCCTTTTAGTTGTGTCACAAAAAATGGAAGAGAAATTGGCAAGGAAAAAATCAGAGAGATTGACGTATCTTGTTGCAGCTGTTATGTCAAGTCTTGGGATAACATCTTTGGGTGTTTTGTCGGTTTATTTAAGGTTTTCATGGCAAATGGAGGTAAGTGTTGTGATGGTTCCTTAAATTTGTTTTTGTTTTTGTTTATGTAGTACATTGTTTTATTTTTATTTTTATGAAATTAAGATTCTGAATCTGAATCTGAAATTTGGCTTTGTTTTGTTTAGGGTAGTGGAGAAATTCCTTGGTCTGAAATGTTTGGTACATTTGCTCTATCTGTTGGTGCTGCTGTAAGTTCCAATTTTGTTTTATTTTCTTTCATCTCTTTATTAATTAGTTTCAATTTTTGGTAATTTGTTTGGTAATATGCAGTTTTTTTAATTGTAAATTAATTTTTTTATCCCTCAAATGATTTTAATTTCTTTTAATATTAAATTAATATTTTTTTAAAAAAATGATTGATGCAAACCAATCACAATCATATATTATACATTCAATTAAGTCACTTTTTATTTTAAAACTATTTTACACACGGTTAGTGCGAGATATTTTTTTAGTGTTTAATTGATATGGTATATGTTGGATTACTAAAAATATTGTAAAAATATTTTAATTAGAAATCATCTTCACGTGTTAAATATTTAAATATAAATAAAAAAGTTCAATGTATTCAGTCAGAATTTGATTTAAATACATATGATTTTTTTTAAACAGTAAAAATGATTGGGTGCATGTATTTATTTAAGCGGTTTGATTGGCGTTTAATAGTGACTATGCTCACCAATCAAAATTTGTTTTTTATTATTTTAGATTTAAGCTCTGTGCGTAATTCTATATACTAATTTTTATTGTGATAAAATTTAAAAAAAAAAATGTAAGAGAGTTACTTAAAGCTTTATTTGAACTCATGATTTCTGCTTAAGCAAACATATTTTTTTCTTTTAAATTAACTAATTAAAACTCTATTATTTTCTTTTGTGTGTATTGTTAATTTCTGGTGATAATAAGCTAAATTGGGTATTCATAATTTTTAGGTTGGAATGGAGTTTTGGGCTAGATGGGCTCACAAGGCTCTTTGGCATGCTTCCTTATGGCACATGCATGAGGTACATATGCTTCTTCCAATTAGTTTCTAAACAATTCAAGAAAAAAAAAAGCATAAAAAAATGTGTTGATGTTTAATTTTAATTTGGTTTTTTCTACCTAAGTTTAAGACCACACGGTTCAAAAATGTATGTGATTATGATATTTGGCACTTTTTGAATATTTTGAATAATAATAAGCAATTGGTATGAAGCAGTATTTGATACGTGGAAGGAAGAAAAAAGAAAGAAACAAAATTTGAAAAAACTGGTTGTTTGGTTGGTTGAATTTGCAGTCCCATCATAGAGCAAGAGAAGGAGCTTTCGAGTTGAACGATGTTTTTGCAATAATCAATGCTGTTCCTGCTATCGCTCTCCTTAACTTTGGTTTCTTTCACAAAGGATTGATCCCTGGTCTTTGCTTCGGTGCCGTAAGTCTCTCTTTAAAATTCATTCTCTAGAGGTGTAGAATTGATTTTAACATGAACGAGCTCTTGGTCATGAGTGGGACACGAGCTCTTGGTCCCGAACGAAGATTCAGAAATATTGAATTCGATTTCAGTAGAAACAAAAAATTTATATTCCTAACATTTTACTAATGACACCCCCTTATTTATGAGCAGGGTCTTGGCATTACGGTTTTTGGAATGGCCTACATGTTTGTACATGACGGTTTAGTTCATAGAAGATTCCCAGTGGGACCCATTGCCAATGTACCCTATTTCAGAAGGGTAGCTGCAGCCCACAAAGTAATTATCCTCAATATTATTTTTATTATTTATAAAAAATGTATTTGTTTTGGTTTGAGGTATAAGGTATGATACCATGATTCTGTTTTTTTTTTTTTGTTTCAGCTTCACCATTCAGACAAATTCAATGGAGTCCCATATGGGCTGTTTTTGGGACCAAAAGTAAGAGCTGTATTCTTGTATATTTCTTTCTATTTTATGTTTAAAACCAAACCACTTAAATAATTTCTTTCTTTTTTTACATAAAGAATTTAAATTATTTTTTAAAAAGAATTTAATTCATATGTACCATTTCTTATCTTATGAGAACTAATGGGTGATAAACAAATATTGGTGTGCAGGAACTTGAAGAGGTGGGAGGACTAGAAGAGCTAGAGAAAGAGATAAGTAGGAGGACAAAATCATACAATAGTTCATGACTTAAGCAAACATTAATTGAGATATGTTTTAAAAAGTTATCAATGTAAAGAAATATTAAATTAAATAATTAAAAAAAGTTTTGCTTCCATTTTGTACATAATTTATTTAATAGTTATGGAAGTTGGAAAGTAAATTGATTAAGGTTTTGATCTTTAGTAAATACATCACCCATCTCATAAAAGTGTCATATTTAAGTAATTCATGATTCTTAAGAATTAAGTAAATATAATTCATGATTCTTAACAATTAAGTATATTGGTTTTAATGATAAAATTAATATTTTATTTATTTATTTTGTAATACGTGTTCTATTTTATATTTTTATCTGTCTTAAATTATTTGTCATTTTAAAATATCAATATATTATTTATTATTTTTTCACAAATTTATTTTTAATTATTATATTTTAAATCATGTAATTATTCAACTACCTATTATTAATAAAGTTATTTTAATAAATAACATATATTTTACAATTAAATCAACACAACTAATAATTATTTGAAAAAATGTAAAAAATCTTAAAGAAGACATCTATTATGAGACGATGAGAGTATTATTTACTAAAATATACTTATTAATTGTATTCTCATTATTCTTTTTTATAAGTATATTTGACTTTTTAGGTTTATTGAATAAATGATATATTTAATCTATATATAAATTACATAAATTAATTATTTAATAAATTAATTATTTAATGTATCTAAAAAAAATTGTTTATCATAAAGAATGAAGGGAGATTATGGAAAAGATTATCCATCATAGTCTGGTTGCATATGTACCTAGGCATCACATTTATAGATCACATTCTTTTGACATATAAGTTTATTAGGGGCTACAATTGAAAAGTGGAGACTCATATTTATTAGAATCGGACATCCAGAAGACTTATGATGCATTTGATTGGATTGGATTAGAGAGTGTATTAAAAGAGATTCGTTTTCATAATAGATTCATCATATGGGTAATGTTGGTTGTGACAACAGTTTCCTACAAATTCAACATCGATGGAAGTTACACCAAGATTATGAAGGCTAATACGGGCCTTAGACAAGGGAACCCTATCCCCCTTCTTTTTGTTATTATGATGGAATATTTTTACAAATCTATACAAAAACTTAAAGAGAATCTTGAATTCAACTTCCATTTAAAATGTGAAAAGCTTCAGATTGTCAACTTAAGCTTTGCAGATAACTTATTAATCTTTTCCAGAGGTGATGCCAAACCAATGTAACTTGCTATGAAGGCTTTGTCTGGTTTCTCCAAGTCCGCATGTCTGCATATTAACTCTTTTAAATGTAAGATATACTTTGGTAGTGTTGATAATAGATTAAAGCTCATATCCAAAATATCACTAACTTTGAAGAGAGTCTCTTTCCCTTCAAATATTTGGGAGTTTCATTAGCTAGCAAGAAGTTGTTTGTTCAATATTCTATTATATTGGTGGATAAAATTATGATCATGATTAGGCAGTGGAATGGTAAAGTTCAATCTAGTTCTAATTTATTGGATCATGAGGGGTCCAGATCAGAGATCGTTATATTATGCTTGAACAATCACCTAAATGATATATCATCACATTCTAATTTAAAACTTTAAGACATTAGATGTTTATGAGTATTTTATTTATTAAGTGCTAATTATTTGCTTTTCAATACATTAGATTTATGAGTATTTTGTTTATTAAGTGTAATTATGTGCTTATCAAATAAACGTGAGACTATTTTTGTATTTGATATACCAACAAATTCTTACTCAAGTGTGAGCTTATTGTTTAATTTATAAGTATGCTTTTGTCCAAATGAAAGTTTTTTCATTCATATATACTTGCATTGTTGTTGTTTACACTATTAGGGACAATTCTAAGGAGGGAGCATCTTTTACTTGGGACACACCTTTTGTGAGAGACACGCCACATATCCACCTAAAACCTCAAGGTGATAGGTGTGTGGGTTCTCTCACTTATAAAGTGATCATTATTCCATTTTCTAATCAATATGGAACTTTTTCCTCACACTTGATTCTCAATACTCCCTCTCAAGTGTGAGTCTACAATGTTCCCCCCGTTGACACTCTTCAACGGAAGACCTTCTACCCACTACCTGCGGTAAGTGTTTCGATACAAGTAAATCGGTCTCTTTCTAGAAACCAAAGGCTCATGATATAATTTATTAGGGGTGTTACTCAGAGCATTGATACAAAGTTGAAGATTATGCACCTTTGTGAGAGACACACCACTTATCCACCTAAACGTTTTAGGTGGATATGTGGGCGTGTCTCTCACAAAAGGTGTGTTCTAAGTAAAAATATGCTCCCTCCTCGGAATTTCCCCTAACAGTGGTATCAGAGTCTGGATCTGTTCCATTAAGCCGTTGCAAATTATGTCTACCATTTCTAGTGATCGAATCCTTACCAACCTTCCAATTCTTGATTCCAAGAACTATGACAAATGGTGCAAACAAATAAAAGTTTAGTTTGGGTATCAAAAAATTCTCGAAGTCGTTAACAATGGTGTTACGCCTCTTGGAGAAGAAGCTATAATTTCATAACAAACTACATTCAAGGAAGAGAAGAAGAAAGACTACAAAGCACTCTTCTTGACACATTCTTGCATCGACAATGATAACTTTGATAAGGTTGGAGATTTCACATCGGCAAAGCAAGCTTGAGAGATCTTGAAGAAATCTTATGAAGGGGCCGATAAAGCGAAGGTTTTGAGGTTACAAACTCACAAGAGGCGGTTCAAATTAGTGCAAATGGAAGAGAAGGAATCGGTAAATGATTACATTACGTGCATAACGCGTTTGATGAATCAAATGAAGTCTTGCAATGAAATTGTGACATCACAAAATATGGTAGCAAAGATCTTACATTCTTTAACGCCAAAATTTGACAACATAATAGTTGCAATATAAGAATCAAAAGATCTTCTTACAATTAGCAAGGAAGAGCTTCAAAGCTCATTAGAGGCTCATGAACAAAGGATGGATGAAAGAGGAAGTGACAAGGCTAAAGCGGAGATTACATTACAAGCATGTTTCAATGAGAAGAACAAGAGATCGAAAGGAAAATGATCTTCAAAAGGGAAGACAAATTCTCAGAATTTTGGTGGCAAAGAGTCACAAAATTCAAAGGCTTCGATGGTGTAAAGGAGAGAAATCATCTCCAAAGGTGGAAGTCAAGGTAACTACACCGGAAAGATTGACAAGAGTGGTGTAAAGTGTTACAATTGTCACAAACTTGGGCATTTCGTAAGAGAATGTAATGCAAAATTGAAGGAAAATCAAGGTGATAAGGCTAAGGTAGAAAGAAAAGAGGTGGATTATGATAATACACTTCTGGTCATGATTACATAGGAGAATTATAGCATGAAAAAGCTGGTAGACAACAGCAGTAGCAACTGTCAGAAGCTGGGCAACAGTGTCTGCAGTGCAGAAAATTCTGCAGAAATGCGTTCGAAGCGAAACACAATGGTAACGGTTTGAGATGCAGCTCAAGGCAGTTATGAGTGGTACTTGGATTCCGGTTGTTCAACGTATATAACGGGTAGAAAATATTGGTTTGTTAGAACCAATCAAGCCACAAAGAATAGAGTAAAATTCACGGATGACACCACTTTAGCGGTCGATTGTGTGGGTGATGTTTTGATCATGAAGAAGGATGGGATCCGCTCCTTGATCAAAGATGTGTTATACATTTCTGGAATTAAATGTAATCTCTTGAGCATTGGTCAATTGCTTGAGAAGAATTACATAATTCACATGGAAAACAAGATTTTGCGTGTTTTGGATCGAAACGGAGTCTTGACTCTTAGAGCATCAATGGCTGCAAGATATAGTTGAAAGTGATGGAGCACAAGTGTCTTACTACAACGGCAAGTCGTGATGAGTGGTTATGGTATTACTGTCTTGGAAATCTCAATTTTCGTGATTTCAACGGATTGTAAAGGAATGGTATGGTTACCGGGCTGCCAAAGATCAATCTTTCAGCTGAGATATGTGATGAGTGTGTTCAAGGGAAGCAACACAAGGGTATTTTCAGCAAATATGCAGATCATAGAACCATACATCATCTTGAGTGGTGTATTCGGACGTTTGCGGACCAATGCAAGTTGACTCGTATAGTGGAAATAGGTACTTTGCCACTTTAATTGACGACTTTAGTAGGAAGATATGGATTTATATAATCAAGAGGAATATGAGGTGTTTGATGTGTTCAAACATTTTAAATCCATGGTGAAGCGGCAAAGTGGTCACAAGTTGAAAATTCTCAAAACTGATGGTGGAGGCGAGTATACCTCGAGTGAGTTTGGGAATTATTGTGATGTTGAGGGTATAGTGTGTGAGATTATACCACCTTATACGCCTCAACAAAATGGTGTTGCTGAGAGAAAAAATCATTCGATAATGAATATGGTTCGTAGCATGTTGAAGAGCAAAAATTTACCGAAAGAATTGTAGGGAGAAGCCGTGTCTACAGCCGCCTATTTGTTGAATATGTGTCCTACAAAGAAGTTGGACAAAGTGACTCCAGAAGAGATATGATATGGTCATAAACCAAGTTGAGTCATTTGAAGGTTTTCGGTTCGGTAGCATTTTGACATGTTCCGGGTCAGCTTCGAAAGAAGTTGGATGGCAAAGGAGAGATAATGTTACTAGTTGGTTATCATCCTACCGGAGGCTACAAATTATTTGATGTGAGTAGCAAGAAGATTGTGCTCAATCGAGATATGGTCGTGGACGAGTTAAGGCTGTTTGATAGTAGAAAAACTCACAGTTCAGTAGAAGAAACCAATTTCCCAACAGAAGGAAACTAGTTTCCTTCGCAATTTTTACATTCTGAAGCTGCTGGAATTGAATTTCTAGAAGCAGAAACCGGTTCCCATGTTCCTGGAAACCAGTTTCCACCAGAAAATGCAGAAACTCAGCAGCCTACAAAACCAATTCCACATCTGGTCTAATTTGAAAATGGTGAATCCAGTAGACGACCATCAAGA